CAATGCACCTGCCCACAGCAAGTTGAGTGTAAGCAGTTTGAGACCAAAATCTGCATGACCCCCATGCCTCACCCTCCTAAATCACCTAATTTTGCCTGAGCAACTTTTTTATTTCCCCGGGTGAAAAAAGTCCACAAAAGAAAACGTTTTGCTGATTTGGAAGAGGTAAAACAAAAAAACAGAACAAACACTAGAAGGCATTAAAACTGACAAGTTCAAAAACTGTTTTGAGCAGTGGAAAAAGCATCTCGATAGGGTATACCATCAAATGAAGAATACGTTGAAAGTGACTTAAGTTTAAACATGTTAGAATAAAGACACAATTTTTTATAAATAAATTCTGAGTTTTGGGGTGCCCCACATATACTAGAACAGAACAATTAAGTAAATGAATGACAGATGGTGGGAGTTGGGTTTCTCAGTGTTGGAGTATAAGATTGCAGATAAACCAAGAAAGTAGGCTAGAAAGATCCATATGGTTGTCTGTGGTTTGCCGCAAGCCTTGGATTTCCTGCAGTTTTGCAGAACACTGATATCTATGGACTATAAAATGGACTTCATTTAAAGAAACCTATGGACCATTAATGGACAAAAACATGAATTGATATGTATTGTGGCATTCAAATTCTAGCATTTTGGGAGAGAATCAAGTACCAAGTTTTTGATGACCATGGCCTACTTTCATAATGCATTCAAGGTTTGAATTTGAATAACCTCATCAAGACTTAGATCTTCAGAAGCTTCAAGTCTCACCTGCATAAAGCTCTCCATTGAACCCTCTCACAAAAGTAAAAGCTCAGAGACTAAATCCACTAGTATGTTCCATTTTATACTCCTTCCTCTCACTTCTCTTCAATTTCCTTGGTCTCTAGGATCCTTCACACTGCTTATGTGACTTTAGACTACAACCACAAGATAGTGCTTTCCAAAAAATATATGTTCTGTGGCCCGAAGTTTTCACTGGTAGAGAAGCATAAACTTGACATGATAAACTTAGATTTAGGTCTTTTGTTGTATCCTAAATAAAGTTGCATCAACAAGAATAAAATGAGGATGAAGTGGTGAAAATACTTGAGGTTAGTTTATACTCTCAGAAGCTACGTGGTTTAGAGAAAAGGGCCTTTAACCTAAAAGTTGATGGCTCTGGCGGGGCTTGGTGGCTCAGTCTGTAATCCCAGCACTTTGGGAGACTGAGGCAAGTGGATTGCCTGAGCCCGCAAGTTCGAGACCAGCCCAGGCAACTTAGTGAGACCTCGTCTCTACAATAAATAAAAAATTAGCTGGGCGTGGTAGCATGCACCTAAAGTTCCAACTACTTGGAAGGCTGAGGCAGAAGGATCACCAGAGCCCAGCAGGTCGACGCTGGGGTGGCTGTGAGTGTGCGACTGCACTCCAGCCTGGGCGACAGAGTGAGACTACAACTCAAAAAAAATAAAAAAATTAAATTAAAAAAAGTTGATGGCTCTTATTCTACCTCTGCCTTTTACTAGGTATGTCACTTTTACTAGGAAAGTCACTTAACCTTTTCTGAACCTTAACTTTATTATCTATGAAGTGAATTTGATATTTTTCCACCTACCTCACAGAGTTGTTATGAGAATCAAGTAAAATAATGTACATAAAAAAGACTTTTATATAAAATAATATAGACAAAGGGTCCTCAAGTCTTGGGCCTGGGAAGGTGGATGATTTAAGCACACTGAAAACAGATATCATGTCCAGGCTGGATACATGGTAGCAAGGCTATATTAATTTCCTTTTCCCTGAGTACATAAAATACTACCATGGACTAATTCCAAGAAGGAGCAAGACCATACATTTCCCTAAAATTATAGTTCAGCATTGGTAATGCTCTAGAGTAGTTATGGGTTGTAACAAAATAATGTTTTGCAAAATATACTTACTAAATTGTGACCAGTATTTTTTTTAATGAAAGAACACAGAACAGAATATTTCATAATCTAACCCACATGATAAGAGTAAATATTGTGTAAATGTGTGTGTACTTGGTCATTAAATAAAATTTATTTTTTCCTGTGGGGGAAAAAAAAGAAAGATCCATATGATAATGAATTGGAGTTGAAGACATCACTACGAACTCATATTTAGTTTAATACAGATACATAAATACATATAAACATTTACAGATATATATATACATAAGTTAATATGGACACAAATTTTCTTGCTTTTTCAGCTGAAAGGGCCTAGAAGCAACAACACACCAAGATTCCAGTTACTAATACCACTCACCAATAAAAGGAACCAGCCTCCTTAGAAAAATGGCTGATTCTAAGACTAGGAGAAGAAATACACAAGATTTTTTCCAGTGCTAGAAAGCAAGAGAATGTTAAAAAAAAAAAAAATCCACAATGGCGGGATATGTCAAAAGGACACAGGAGGTAACTAAGAGCTCTCAATGGACAAGGCTAGAATAAGTTGAGCAACAGAATAAATACTTTTAGATTATAACACAAATTATAAAACAAATATCCATGAGTTCAAAGTATTTCAAATTAATGGCTGAATGAATAAATAAATGAAGGAGAATAAACAAATCTCCCAAGCAGAAAAATTCCAAATCTGTGTAAATACAGTACAGAAACCTGAGAAATGTTACCTCAACCTGACAATCAAGAGCAACATCAACAGTAATGAGCCACATAGAAAAGATGCATCCTTGATATGAACTGAAGAATTGCAGGAGAACAAAAGCTAGGATAAGATTAGTGTATATAGAAACATAAATTCTATATCCAGCATGGCTCTAAAAAGAGGGTCAAAAATTTGATACTAACCTTCCTAGGGGCCAAGTCAGAGACCATAATCAATTATAGAATTCATATTATTCATTAAAGAACAGGTCAGATATTCAGGAGAAACATGACTTTTTCAATATCTGAAATGGGAGAAAACTTTCATGGTTTCTCAAAAAGACAGTGCTGTACCACAAAATTAAAGACCTTCATACATAAAATCCCTAATACATTTCATAGCACTATTTCATACAACGTCCCTTAATGCAAGTCAGTGCATCCTCAAGAGCGATTATACAAGAGCCCAGAATAATGCAGTTCCATTCTAAGATCCAAGGGTAAAATTTAGAAAACATATAAAATAACTGGATTATACAGACTTTAAGCAGTCTATCTATAGTGAAACACTATTACTTGCAATCATGATTTAAGTAAGGTTTTAACAGTTTAAATTTGAAGTTGAAGTTTGTGCAAGAACCAGTATATACATACTCAGGGTTTCTAAGTACAGATCCACAGACTTTGAAAATTAACCAGGAAGACAGTAGGTTCAAAAGTATTGGGCCAGATGTGGTAGCTCACGCCTGTAATACTAGCACTTTGAGAGGCCAAGATGGAGGATTGCTTGAGCCCAGAAGTTCAAGACCAGTCTGGACAACACAGTGAGATCTTGTTTCTACAAAAAATTATCTGGCATGGTCGTGCATGCCTGCCATCCCAGCTACTCAGAAGGCTGAGGTGTAAGAATCGCCTAAACCCAGGAGTTTGAGGCTATAGTGAGCTGTGACTGTACCACTGCACTCCAGCCTGGGTGACAGAGTGGCCGCCAGATTAAAAAAAAAAAAAAAAAAGATGTATTTATAAAAAATTAAGAAGTCTTAACTAAAGACATGCCTAAAGGAATGGCTAAACCATCTCTACACATAGGTGCACCAAAAGAGGTATGGCCCACTCATTCAAATTCAGTAGTGGAAGAAATTGGTCTAGGATAAGAGAAAGAATTAAGGAATTGTTCTAAGTAAAAACAAACAAACAAAGCAACCTTGTAAAGGGATGTGAGAGGTAGAGACAAACATAAAGAATCCTGCTTCTTTCTCTTATAATCACAGTACATTTTTATCACCTCTACAAACAAATTTATATGGGAATAAGTTGAAAATAAAATATGTTTATACCTCTAGTTTTTCTTCAGTTATCAGGTAATGTTGTAAAATATATTCAAGGACATATATTTAAAATATGTCCCTTGTTTTCTTGTAAATAGTTATTTGATATTCTCATTCTTTAGGTAAGCTATCAAAAGGACCACTCATAGAAAATAAAAATAGAAAAATAGCAAACAGATGAATCATAAAATGTTTTAAATACATTCAGAAAAACTTAGTGGTAAAAAATTCCACATTCTCTCCAAATGGTAACTAAGTCAGACTTTGAGTTCTCTTATTAATAGAGCAATATAAGCTGAAATAATAAATGAATATTAAAATAGTAATGATAGTGGTTAAGAAGTAGTAAGAAATAAATCGGCATATTTTTACTCCTGCTTTAGCTCAAAATAGAACGTTTATAATACACTTCATAACAAATGTAAGGTTTCAAAGTATCTGCACTAAGAAAAAAACTAAATTCAGAAACTGAATATCAAACAAATCACCACAGATTTTTTTCCAGGTGCTGTAAGGATGAAATTTTTAACAACCTGCATACACATCTACTGAACTTCTTTTAATTTTCTTTATGCATCATTTTTTTCCAAAGAAAACTAGATGATTCTTCCAAACCTTAGTTGTTAAAATTCACTACTCAAATTACAAAAGTACTTAAAATGTTACATATATTTAAATTTAGACATGCCAAATTATATATTAACCAAAAATAACTACATTTATAACAAAAATACTGCAAATTTTCCAGTCTCTTTCACGTTTCTAAGCATCACTCTTAAAACAGAGATAATTTAGTAACATTTAAAATAACATTATATGTTCAGTGAAAATATCTATTATAGCAACATCTTACTGTATACATAAAAATGTTGTTTTTTCCAAATTATATTTAGCATTTTACTTTGTAAGTCAATTTGTAATGATGATATCCTTCCCTTTAATTCACAGCAACAATAAGGGTCAGATACTCTAATTACAAAGAAACACTTTAACTAAAAACAGGTATAAAATAATTTGCTAAAAGTAGAAATACAATAAATTAAAATGCATAAAACAGAGGCTTTTAAAACAGACATACTTATCCCAACCAAGAGTTCCTATTTCTTCAAGAAGGCTTGAGTAGAACTGGGGAGGAGGAGGCAGTACATGTAGCTCTTGTCTATTCTTTAAAGCTACTTCCTATTTAAAAGAAAACAACTAGAATTATCTGTGTAATCTAGACAATGAATTATTAGTACCTGATTACAAAACACAATTTCATCATCTTCTTAGTAACTAATAAAAATGTCCATTATTTTAACAGAATATCTGACTGACTTATTCCCTTTTTACAAAAAAAAAAAAAGGGACAGAAAAAGTTAAAGGACTGCACTAGAGGTCATGCAAAATGTCAATTTTATACCATGAAAAAAACTTAAGATTTTAGTATTCTCTTGGACTATTATGACTATCAGAGATAAACTTTTAAAAAAATTTCATCCTCAAAGCTTCACCATCTTTCCAGTCCCATGACTATGATGTTTGATACACATATATTTTGTAAACATGCCTTTAAGGAAAAGCCTAAATTCTAAGTATACTGCCTAGATTGATATATTTGCATACAATTACAAACTCCGTTCTAACAAAAATCCCTCATTATCACAATAAATACCTATATGCTACTTTCTTTCACTGACTGACATTTTGAATTACTGAACTATGAAAGTTCAAGAATTATTACCATTCATCTGGCTAGATCACAGTACTGTTTCTTGCTAGGCTCACCTACGACATCTTTAAAATGGTTAATGTTCCACAACCAAAACTCAAATCTACATCTTTTTTACAAGCAATATGAACATCACTGGAACTGCTGAGACTAAAACTTACCAATTACTTTGAAGGTGCTAACCTAGACAAATATCTTATTTGGAAAGTAAAAATAAGTGTATCTACAAATTATTTAGCTGTTCAGACAGAGTGGACTGTCCAAAGGTTTTATAAAGCTAGAATAAATTTAAAAACCAGATGGGAACAAGTAAAAAATTATTAACATCAACTAAATGCAACCCTAATAAAAGACTGAAATTTTTATTCTTTTAAGTATATGTTTAATCTATTATTAGTCCTTATGCTTTTTTTTAACAAGTATAGAATACTATTAAATTGAGATATTGGAAAAATATATTTTACAAAATAGCACTTCAAAATCGTAACTATTATACTAGAAGTACTTCAATCTAGTTTTGAATCTATTTTGGAATTAAAAGTAGAACTTTGGCTCTGTGAAAGTAGATTTGTAAAACTGAGAATTTCAATATGGATTTAATTAGAAGCTAAGCTTCTAGAAGACATGGCATATACTGCCGTTTTTATAACTTAAATGCCTAATATTATCTAAAAATAGCTTGATGGGCTACAAAAATATATTTGTCCTATTAAGATTGTACTCTATGTGTTACTAAATAAAATGAGTTGATATAGTAGTGTATTTCTTTTGAAATTTCTATTTTTATTCAGAAATATTAATTACTGCCATCCACAAAAGTTGAAGGTAAAAAATGAACTTAGATAATAGTAAAAATGCTTTTCACTAGTAGGTTTATGACATTTATAAACTCTATCTTCTTCTTTGGGTCAGACAAGTTATTTCTATTCTAGACCAATAACAGGAAAAAGGACAAAGGCAGAAGCAATACATTCTTCACAGGGAAGGAGACAAAGGCAAAGACAAATGTTTTCAGTCCTAACTTCAACAGTTCTTAGTTTTGACGTGTTTGGCTCTCAGTGGCTCAGCTCTAATATAGAAATAAAATAACTTACCTCACAGGGTTAATTTAAAATGTAAGTAATTGCCCATTTATTAAATATATACTGAATTCCCACTATATGCATAGTTATTACTAGGAAACTCCATGGGGGATTTACAAAATTGCTTGAATATGTTCAATATCTACTGATTTCATTTGAGCATCATTCTCAAGACATATCAAACTGTTTTCAGTTGCTAGTAGCAATATCAGTATTAATTTGTGATTATCTTATAGAAACCCTATTATTAACAATACAGCTTAACAAACTAATAAGTCTTACATTTTTAGTTAAATGAGCAATAAAAAAAATCAATGTCCAAAATTTCTGAAAAAAGCTAAAACATAGGATCTCATTTCTATTCAGAAATGCAGGGACAAATGTACTAAATAGAATATTGTAAACCAGAGATCAATCACAATATTTTATATTAGTTTTAAACTCATATGTGTTTCTTTAAAATTAAATGGCCAATAGACTTGTGACTGACAACCTAATACAGTTAGTTTCAGTAATAAGAGTTTAATGGGACATGGTATAACTAATTTTACTCTGGTTATACCTTAGTCCCTGTATTTGCATAGTTTATTAAAATTACAATAAAGAGATAAAAATTTTTCAAACACTTCCCCAGTGTCAAGGAGAGGTAAACCAAATACACTTTACCTATGCACCTTACCTTTTCAAGGTATTTATATTATGACCCTTAATAAAATGTATAATCAATTTAATAATTCTTATTGATTAGGATTTGTAAGTTCATAAATCAAAATTTCAACTTTGGAAATTTATTTTAAACTCTTTGCTCTCATCCCAAACATTTTAGCAAAGCCCTACCTCAGAAGGTTCTTATTAGAAGTAGAAAGAGGATTCACAAAAAATTCTAGCAACTAAGCTCTCAATATGAGGTAGCTGCTGCTAAGAATAAAAAGGTCTCAAAAAGAACCACAAAGACATATCAAACTGTTTTCAGTTGTTAGTAGCAATATCAGTATTGTAATTTTAATATAAACAAATATAAATATATAGTTAGAAAAAAAGTAAAACAAGTAAAAAATAACAAAAAGCCATAATACTATAATAATGTTAATATTCAGATATTAATATCATATTCAGAGTAAGAGACACAAGCAAATAAGTAAAAACGGTGTAATGCCAAATTTGAATTGGAAATATCAGTATGAACTCATGATTAATTATACTCTCTAAAAGTATTTTTCCTAGCTTTATCCACTGAAAAGGCCTAGAAGTTAATAGCAATGAGAACTCTAGTTTCCATACTGAGGCATACAAATACCATTTCCCACAAAACCATGGCTCTTTAGAGAAATGGCTGATCACAGTTTGGGACAGGATGAGTAAATGAGCCTGGAGCAACTGGCGTCAGAAAGCAAAGAAGCTTGGGTTATGTTCAAAGAACTCAGGAGCCAACATGAAGGGGCTTATACTGACCAAAAAAAAAAAAAAAGGGACAAATTAAGCATAAAAAAGAAAATGACTGTAATGTACTAAAGTTATTTAAATATATAAAAACCATGAGTTCATAAAGATACTAAAAAAATAACTTTAGTTCCCAGTGACAGTTGCTAGGCACCAACTCATTATTCTATAAACTGATTTTTTTTAAAGGAAGAGAAACAAGCATTCATCTTTCCAATATGAGCTTTACCTCAAATTAACAAAATAACTGATGAGGGGAAGTTCTTTTTCAGCTAATAAATGCAGACAATCAAATTTTAAAAATCACATTTCTAAACCTTAATGAGACAGTGGATGCAAGCAATGCTTAATGTTGGATGCTAAAATTACAAGGCTGATGAGAAATTTATACTGGATGGGTCTAAACCTATTGCTCAATGTTTACTAAAAAGAGGAATTATCAAACATTATATGCATCCTCATGTAAGAAATACAGAGTCCCATGTATTCTTACCAGAACAAATGAACACAAATCTGCTGAGACCTCTAGATCTAATTGCCAGATTACAAAGAAGGTAGAAGAATATGTTAAAAAATAAGCTATGAATACCTAACAAACCAAAAATATAATGTGGAAAATTTTAGAGAACAAACAATTTGGTTTATTCAACAAGTAGATAGCATATAAAAAAAGGTGGGGAGAAAGGGAGCTGCTACTCTTTAATAAGTATTGCATAAGTCTCATATAAGACTTAAGAGACATATCAACTAAATATAACATATGGGCCTTATTTACAATACAAAGCAGCTACAAGAAATTATCATTAACCTTGTTGAGAATATTTAATAACAGATAAAAAGTGCTTAGTTGTTAGAGATATAGACTACCATATTAATAAAGGGATGAATACAATATCCAGGGTTTCTTTTAAAATACTCCAGTCTCTTTCTTCTAAAAAAGTAGCAGAGGTCAGTTGGGGCATGGTCGCTCATGCCTATAATCTCAACACTTTGGGAGGCAGAGGCCAAAGGACTGCTTGAGTCCAGGAGTTCAAGACCAGCCCAGGCCTTGTCTCTACAAAAATCTAAAAAAAAATTAGCCAGGCAAGGTGGCATGCACCTGTAGTCCCAGCTACTTGGGAGGCTAAGGCAGAAGGATCACCTGAGCCCATAAGGTCGAGGCTGCAGTAAGCCATGATCATGCCAAAGCCCTGACTGGGTATTAAATCTCCCTTCTTCTTTTGGGTAATAAAAAGTTTTTAAGAAAATAATTAAAATGTCTGTAAGGCAAACTAAATAATCAAGCATTTTATGCAAAATCGATTAACTGAATAAACTGTTATATAACTATAAATATAAAATGAAGCCTGACAAGGTTTTCAGATATCTGCAGTTACAAACAAAATTATTTATTTATATATCATACTATATCTTTAAAAATGACTAATCTCTCCTTAGATGTTTGATTCTCTGACAGGGCAAGGGTGCATTTTATTTCTTCACCACCTACACAACATTAGTATCAGGGTATCCATTTCACAACACAGTCAAAGTAGCTCCTACACACAGTTCTGTTCCTCATACAGTTCAAGAGAGTATTATCCACATTTATGTACACAGTAAAATAAAACATTAAATGACTGGGAGGCTGGAAGATTTAAATTCTAATAATGTTACTATTTAAAAACCTACAAAAAAAAAAGTTAAGACTTAGAATACAGTAACAGTGCTAGAAAAAAAATTCTTACCAAAACCATCTTCAACTCCATCATAAAGCTCACTAGATCAGGAGAGTGCTGCATTCTCTAGATCAAAACATTTCCAATTAATTTCATTTGTACAACAAATATTCCATTCACTGAAACTGAATAAAATATAGGCCCAAGCGAGTTTGAAAAAAAGACAGCTATATCTACAATTGCAAAGTATAAGAAGTAAACTATTGGTTATCAACCCTACTAATTCCCTCAATTTCATTCTGAAAGAGCAATTAAAGCCCTCAGATCTATTTTGGTGAGATATACTAAATTGTGTACAAAAGTCACTTAAAACCTCATATACCTCTGTTCCTTCACCACTGTTTACTGCCATTGTTTAGCAAATCTAGCAAACCACATCATTTCTGAAGAAGAAAAAGTTGAAGGTGTAGTATAGGAGTGATGTGAGTAGGAAAAGGAGAATAAAATATAAAAATCAGGTAAGTCAATATGATTTTTAAAAATCTAGTTAGAGCAATTAATTAGCAATTATTAATCAACAATACAGTCTACTTTGACTTTTTCCTAGACCTTAACGACTACCTATAATTATTGTTTTTGTCCTTTCACAACTAATCCACATTAATTCAAAAGAAGATAGTTATTAATTAAAGTAAAACCAAATATAATTAGGTAGTAAAAGGAAATAACCTCTAATGCAGAATAAATATGTAAGGCTTATGGTTCCATTTCCTAGAAACCCTTCATTCTTAAAATAACTGTAGAATAAAAAGCAAATTATCAAGTTTCACACTATTTTCTAAGAACTCTACATCATTTGTCTAAGATTAAATTATTGTGTTTGCTACTTTTTGTGATGCACTACACACAATTCTGAACATAGTCAATATGTGAATGTTTGCTTTCTTTAGATGAGAAAAATAAGAATCTAAGATATTTCCACAATGCATGAACACTGTGATTCACATCTTAACATAGCTTTGAGTGGGTACAGGTTTATAGAAAAAAATCTTTGACTATCCCTTTTTGTATATTAGTTTATTACAGATGAATAACAAATTACATCAAAGGTTTGGGAACTTCACCCTATAAATCTAGCTCAAACAAAGTTTTATCAGCACGCAGTCACACCCATTAAATTACTTCTTGTCAATAGTTGCTTTGGCGTTCTAAGAGCACAGTTGAGTAGTTGTCACAGAGACCTTATGGCCTACCAAGTATGAAAAATTTACTATCTGGTCCTTTACAGAAAAAAAGTTTGCTGACTCCTTGGCCCACATGTACTAAAATTAAAAATAATACAAGAAAAGAATAGCAATATTCACCTGAACTCTGAAATAAAACAAAGATAATCTAATAACTAGGTTCTACCAGATCAATTGAGGTCAGGGAGAGATAAATAAGTAACTGGGACTTTTTCTAAGAACCTTCTTGGTGATTTGGTAGAGAAAAACAGAGTTAAAAATCTTATTATTATACTTAGCCATTATTAACAAATTTTTCAGACTATTTAAATATCAATAGATTCATTTCTTAAACTTTAGGGTACAATATAAAGAGTCATGGGATGTAGGAAAAAAACAGAAATAATTTAAACATCACCTTAAAAAAATTCCGCAATTATACTGCCAAGATGACAGCCTACATTCTCCAAATCAAATAGTTATATCCTATATTTCTTTGTAGCTCAGTAATGCTTTATGTGAAAGTAACTGTTATTGTCAGTTACTATGGATAATAACCTGCCTTTAAGATAGAAAAGATACAGGAAATTGGGAAAAAAAACACACAAGAATAAAGCATCAAAAGAAATGCAATTCTACTAACATTTATTTTTCTAAAAGATTTTTATTATGTTATTATTTTGCTTCAATAACAGTGATTTTTTTTAAGTTTCTCTAATCTTTAAAGGAATTTTCAGGTACAGGAACCTAAACATAAAGAATAACTAAATAAATCCTGACTATATCTCACCTAAGCTGCATTTATCTCCACTCATTACACAAGTACACATGATCCTAGTGCTTTCCACCACACCTTTCTGTTGCTAATCCAGAGCTAAAAAATCTCATTTTTGCCACAGATATCCTACAGCTCTAAATGGGTCTTTTTTTTCCCCCCCTATCATCACTATTCAATCTCAGCAGAAAAATCATTCAAGAAGTGATGGATATGGATAAGGGTGAAGGCATCTGAAGAACCTAAAGTCTCAAGGATAGAAATTAGTTTCAACACAAATGCTACCTGGAGATCTCCTGAGGATAATGAGATTTAAAAATACTTTTTATAATGTATGAGTCCTTAACATATTTGATAGATAGAGATGAACTACCAGACTCAGCAACTATTAAACCAGTTTATTACAACATTCTGCAAAACATGTCTTTAAAGAAGAGTAAATTTAGTAATTTCTTATCCTTGCTTAAAGCATAAATCTTGTAAAAAGGACTTACCTGTTGGACTATTTGATGGTATCCACTAAGTATTGTTCTCAGCTGCCAACTGCACAGTAATCTAAAATTTTAATGGGACAAAATGGTTTGTTCATTGTTCAGAATTAAAAGAAAAAACTTATTTGTATGCCAACGCAAACATACACGTAGACACAAAAGAATGGCATAAACATAATTCTGACAAGTTAATAAAATTTTTACCACTGACACTGTTGAAAGTCTTGCCTTCAAACTGCCAGTACTAATTCTATTTCAAAATATAAATAACTGCAGTCAGTAAATGACATGCAAGCAGTATATCTTTTTTTTAAACTTTAACATATTCAAAGCAAAGTTCTCTATTGAACTAGATGCTTCTCCAAGGTAGGTTAAATAAAACCAACAGTTTTGATCATAATATATATCAAACTTGTATTTGAAAAAGCACATGTAGCAATATAATCTTCAAATTCCAGATTAATGTGTTTAAAGGGACATATACTTTTAATTGACAAGTTAATGTTCACCCATTTGCTGGCTCACCTCAGCTGTGATCTCTATATTACTAGGTAAGTAACTCTTCTAAAGAATTTTTTTACTTATGAACCTCAGCATCTCTTTGTGACCCTCAGCACTGTTAACTATTCTCTCAAGTTTTTCTTTATTCAGCTTAAGAGATACTACTGTCCGAATTTGCTTCTTTATTTACTTATACACAGGAAGCCTCTCTCAGTTTTCCACAATCATGGACTTTTCAAATAATCACAACTCCATTTTTGGTGAGCAAACCACATGCCTATCCCTGTCTCCTCTCTCATGGCAGAGCAGTGCATTCAACTGTTCATTGGTAACCCACTCTCCAAATGTGCTTTTCATTCCTTACCACCAACTTGTTCACTTCATTAATTATCCCTTCACTGTGGTATCCTTAATTTATGTTCTGCTAGTTTTTGTCTCCTTAATGAACTACGTTGCTAATGTATATTATCTTTAAAAACAACATCATAACTCTTCCTTGAGTGCATACTGTTCTCTAACTAACTTCTTTTCTTCAAAGTAGTTGAGACTGTCTCCATTCCCTTTTTACCCATTCATTCAGCCCAAAACCTAACACAAGCTGGCTTCTGCCACTGAACAAAACCTACTCAGACCTAACCTGGTCTCTTTGCAACCCCTCAGCAATGTGAACCATTCCCTCCTTAAGCCGCTCTGTCCAAATTTTCCTCTTTACTGGTCAAACCTTAGTCTCCTTCTAAGTTCCTCTTTAGCTACCAGTCCTTTAAATGTCAGTATGCTCTCAAGGTCCTGTCATTGGCTTTCTCTTTTCATTCTCCAGATAGAGGCACTACAGTAAAGTCAATTCATACTCATGATCCCAAATCCTATGCTTATTGTGACTACCATGTATATCTCCACTCCAAGTCTCACACTCTAGTTCCACACCAATACACTATTGTTTACTAAATAGCTTCTCTGGATATTTCACACCCAATATGCCTTAAAACAATCTCCCTTCTACTTCTCCACCTGAGACTGCTTCCCTAGCTTAGTGATCTGAACAAAGAACTTAAAAAGCATCCTCCACTTCTCTTTCCCTCTTTCTTACACTTCTAATCAGTCACAAAACTCTCTCAATTCTACTCACAAATATCTCTGGATTCCTTTTTCTCTAAATATCTTCTCCAGAGATATTTACATGCAGAATTGAGATTTGGGGTGGAATCTAAATTTTCCACCTCATATCCTTACTCGTTGTCTCTACCAACACTCAATGTTAGTACCTATTAACTTATACCAGGAATGAACTGATGTGGGACTTCCCATATAATGAATATACACATTAATAATATCAGTCAAAAGTTGGAGAAAGTCTTCTCATCTTTTTTTTGTATGCTCCCTTTATACCCCTATTCAGTAATTGTTAGTGAAGTATATACAATTGCTATTTACTGCTTTAAATAAAAAAAAAATCAGAGAATTAATGTGCTAACTTTGAAAAGAACTTCAGCACCAGTAAAAATTATTTACAACTGCCACATTAGTTTGAAAAAATAAGAAATGTTTCTTTCTGGGTGACTTACTAATAAGCATGTTAGGCAAAACTCAAGTCACTAGAATCAATTTATACCAGATTTACTGCCTATCCCACCATCTCACCAAGATGCAATGTATACAAGTAAACACCACATCACCTTGCATTCTTCAGTTGTAAATCTTCAGGCAACAATATTCTAAGGTGGAAGTCTCTTCCCTGTGAAAAATGTTTAAAAGTTAACTCACATTTTTCACTTAATGCCAAGAGAAGTTAAACATAAAAGCACACAGAAAAGGCAATGGTTTCCATTACTTTCTAAAAGGCATCAAATTTACCCAAGTCTTTATACTTGGTCAAATAAAAGCAACAGAATATTTTATGTGTGGGAAAATAACTCAAAAATGTGTCCAAAATTTTGTAATTATTGGCAAATGAAATCACGAAGATAAGACTTTGTTTTTAAAGAGAAAGTCTCTTACATAAACACAAATATCATAAAATTGTTAAAATAAATATATAGAAAAAGTTTAAATGTTATTTCTTAGAAAATATATTCAAGAAAAGGAAATTCCTTCAAATTGCTTTGAATATAGAAAAAAAGTCACAATATAAAATAAGGATATATAACACATTAATTTCAGGCTTCATTGTAATAAAATAAAAATATATAGAGGATGCCAAAAAATGTATACATATTTTAAGCAAGGAAAAACTGAATTAAAATTGTAATACTCATATAACAACACCAAAGGATGAATACAAGTCACATTTGACTTCTGCAATTACAAAAGGGTTCAAAGTGGCTACCATCAGTGTCCAGATAACTTCTGAAAAGCACTTTGAAAAGTAATAGATAATATCTCTTTAAATGTGTACACATTTTTTGGCACCCCCAGTATTTTGTGATTACAAGATCTAAATAGATAGACATAAAAAATACATTCATAAATCATCTATATTTAATTCTAATTTTAAAAGTCAGTAACATATTAAGCTATCTATACATTTGAATATACAGAATTTTTCTCAATAGATTTCTAAGGGCAGGAAAGATTTCTCAGAAATATATTCAGCTCTACTTTCTTGGGAAAGTGAATGGTAAGCAGTTTAAACTTTGTAACTTAAATAGGATAATACACATGAAATTTGAGCAAAAATAAGCAGAAAAAGACAAACAGAAATGTAATCTTTTACTCCAACAAAATAAAATGAAAAGGAGTAATAAAATTCTCAAAAAACAATTACCATGTGGAATTTTAGTACAGTCTCCCTCAAATCAGTTTCAAAAACAGAGGAACACAATTAAATGTACCCCCATAACCTTTACTTTCATGGTAATATTACAGTTCTGACTTTCATTACATTTAAATGTCCTTTAAAAAAATGAAACAAAATGTACTACTGACCTTTTCAAAAGGTCAAGTAACAATAATTCACTATTTCATTAAAGCACTAAAAGGTATTATGTAGTAACTTTAACCTAACTGTACAGACATCCCACACATAGGTGTAAGAACAATCTGGAATTTACAATTTACACGAAAAAACAGTAAGACCTATACTATTGTAGAAATGTGTGCTTTATCTGAAAGGACAGAATTCCAAAGTCCCTTATTTGCAAAACCCAGTCATTTTAAAAAGATCATATACCATGTCATATGCCACAATACTAGTCTAATTTTTTTTAAAGTCCAAAATTAGTTATTTAGTTAAAGCATCTAAAAAATATTAATTGCTCTTAAAAAGCAGATTTTCTAAGCTTGCAGAGAATAGAAGTACTAATATTGTCTAAACCCAAATCTCCCTACGCACTCCCCTAAAAACCTACAAAGATTAATATTAAGAACAAATAAAACCACAAAAACTCCATGTTTTCTGCCAGAAGACAGGGCACACTATGAACTATATATTACCTATTACCTACAGAAAGAAAAACATAAATCATTTTCCAATAGAGCCCACTCTGGAACTCCCCATAACAAGTCCTTGTACAGACGAGGAGGTTAAGGAAAAAACAAAACAACAAAAACAAAATAAAAACAAGTGGAAGAGAGAATAGGAAGATTAGACCAAGTGCACAAATAATAATAAAGCATTCTCGTAGATCAGAACACTGAATTAAAGGGAGTAGTCATCATGTGAACACAGAAGTCAAGGAGCCAATCCTGAAAAAGAACTCTTTAGGGATAGAAGGATAAAAAGGATAAGTAGAGATACCTTTTGAAAATTGGGTGTTAGGAAGAAAAATAAGTAACTGTGGGAAACTTAGGTTCTTACATGTGAAAATGAGACCACAGAACTCTCCTTCCAACCTCCCCAAAAATACATCCATTAAATACATAAATTGTACTTTACTTCACCAACAGGAGACAGTATTCTTAAAACTAGGAATTTTCAAAACTATTGCAGACATCCAAAATGGTCACAAATACAGAGATACTGTCTTTATCAATGCAAAGCTACCATGAAACAAAAACAGAAAAGGAGAATCAAAACATTTCAAGTGATAATGGCCCCATGTAACCAAAACCCAGAAGCCATAAACAAACTATATTACTTTAAATATCATTAAGTGAGCATCTGAACCCAAATCAGAAATTTGGGTACCCTGAACTCAGGGTAGAAGAAAAATGTAGAAAAAGAGAAAATTCTAATATATTAAAGTGGAAGAATAAATTTAAAAGGAGCCCAAAGAAGAAAAAGATTAAATAAACATTTCATAATAGAAAAAGAAAAAGCAAGAAAATTGCCAAATGAGGAAAAAAATAAAGACTATCAGAGAAAAGCAGTTGAACTGGAAAACAAGATAAAAAAAGAAAAAGTCCAATATACATAAAATTGGAGACCTTTAAAGGGAATCAAAATAGTAGAAAAATACTTAAAATTATAATCCAAATAATCTGGAAATCCATATACTGAAAGGGACAACTCACCACATGAGAAAAGTGAATTGCAATGATCCACCCTGAGGTATATCTTTAAAAAATCGACTTTAAAAATAAGGAAAAAGTACAGAGTCTCTAAATAAAGGATAAAATAAATTATATGGGAAACAATATGATTGGAATCAGATTTCGCAAAGCAAGACCAAAAAAAAGGCAAGACTAGAATAGAAATTGTAAGAAAATGAAGAGAATGGCTTCTAGTCATGATTGAGTAAAGGGGCAGGATTCACCCTATTAATTTAAAAATTAGACAAAATGCATGAAACAATGATTTTTCAGACATAAAACAATAGTCAGTGCAGGACTAAAAGAAAGGAAGCAACGTGAAAATAACTACAGTTGTCCGGCTCTACTATCTGGAGCATTTTCACACTGCAAGGTAGGTATGGAAAAACAGTGTTTGAATGCTCCCTGATTTGAGAAGAGGTGGGTTAAGAGAAGCTATTCCACAAGGTGCAGTACCAATGAGAAAGACATACATGGAGAGGAGAGAAATACACACAGAGAAAACTGAACAACTTCAGAAGATTCCTTGAAATGAAGTCTTCAGCTGAGTACATTTGCCACATGAATGTGAGAAAACCACTTAAAGGAATGGAGTCTGCAAAATAATCTTGAAGCTCACAAAAGGCTAGTTATAGTCATATTCCAACTGGTCAAAGTGGAAAATCTCTTAAGAGCCACCAAATAGAGTACTCAGAAAGGTGTGTGCTGCCTCATATGTAGAGTCAAGTTAGCTTAAACTAAAGTCTGCTTTGGTTCTACTTAACAAAGCTTAAACGCAAATCTCTAAAAGATCAGAACTGTTTTTAAGTAACATTACTGCAGCTGCTCACAACAAATCTTAAGAATATTTAGAGAAGACAGGTATTCAGCATGTAATAGATAGAATTCATGATGTCTAGCATCCAATCAAAATACACCAGGCACACATATTTCCTGCAAAGAAGCAACATAATACTCATGAGGAGAAAAATCAAGAGAAATAGACACAAAAATGGCACTGATGACAAAAATTTAAAAACTAAGACAATTATAATATATTTCATATGTTCAAGAAGATAGAGGAAAGCATGAACACATGAAATAGACAGGAAAGACATAAAGAAACACCCAAATCAAACAAATGAAAAATGCAATGTCTAAGATTTTTTAAAATGCTAGATGGTATTAGCAGCAGATTAAACTTCAAAAGAAAATATTAGTGTACCTGAAGTCATACCCCCAAATAAAATAGAAAGAAACAGATGGAGGGAAAAAACAAATGAACAGATCATCAGTGAGTTATGGAAACTTTTAAAGTGGCCTAATATGCATGTATTTACAGTCTCTAACAGTGAACAGAGAAGGAACAAAAACAATTTTTTTGAAAAAATAATAGCCAATATTTTTCCATTTTAAATGAACATATATACTCATGGCTTCAAGAAGCTCCACCAACTCTATGGAAGAAAAATATGATGAAAACTACACACAACACAAACAAGTTGAATAAAACCAATGACAAAAAGAAAATTCATTTAAAAAGCCAGAGAAAAAGAATATTGTATTACAACGGATCAAAGATAAAAAAGAGCAGAGATTTCTCATAGAAAACAGTGTAAGACAGTGGAATAATATCTTTTATAGTATCAAAACAAAAAACTGTCAACCTAGATCCTACACCCAGTGAAGTTATCTCTCAAAAGACCAAATAAAATAAACACTTTTCAGACAAAAAACAGCTGAAAGAATTCATTAGTAGCAGATATGCACTACATGAATGTTAAAAGAAGAACTTCAGGAAGAAAGTAAATGAAGCAAGATAGAAATCTGAATATACAACTAAGAGTTACAGACACAGTAAACACACAAGTAAATAAAAAACACCTTTTATTTTTTAAAATATTTTTTAAAAGATAATTGACCGTCCCAAAGCTACAACAATTTGAGCAAAAAAGCAGCACTGCATTATAACCCAAAGTATAAAATAACCATGAAATCATAATGATATAAATGACTAAATTGATAAATGGAGGATAAACAAATCTCTCATGCAGTAGAATTCCAGAAAAATTACATAGATACTCCACTCTAAAGAAAGAGGAACATAACTCCTCAACTTCATGTGCAGACTGCTCATAGTGGTTTTCTTCCAAAGAGTACTATATGGAAAAGAGAGAAAAAAGAGTAACTTTTACAGTGGAAAATCCTGACAAGCACTGCTCCAGCCGGGTGATAAAGATCAAAATCAACATTCATAAGTGATACGGACAGACTATAACCTTGATA